AGATTTGGCAAGGAGAAGATGGCGGGCATATTTTCTTCGCTCATACTGATTGCTCCGTTATGGATACTCCAGGTTGTGGTGTCGGGTCCAGAGAGCAAGGCTCCATCCACAGGACCGCATCAGGTGGCCCAGGAATTTCCCAAGCGTGATGAAAGCAAGGAGGGTTAAGATTTTAATTTATTAGTTGATTTGTATTGTTAATTTGTATGGAATGCGAGAAGTTATTATTATTTGAATTAGCGTAATATTGTATGATAAATTGGAATTTGATGAATATGTGTGTTTATTAGAGTAGTTAAATATTTATATAATGTAAAATGTAATTTAGTGAGGCTATTATTTCTGAATATTAATTTGGTGAATTTATGAATTATTTTATTGTGATATGACGTGGGTATGTAATGAGGCTATTATATTTAGATATTAATTTGTGAATTTATGAATTATTTTATTGTGATTTTATTGTGATGTGTCGTGAGTATGTTAAAGGACTTCTTATGTAGTTTGTTTACCATTTATATGTAGTTTTATGATAATATTTTATTTATTTTTCCAGCTCCATATAATGATGGATCCGGTCACTGAGGAGATGCAGCATACAAAACCTGAGCAAAGCCAGAAGAAGTTGCCGAGATGGACCTCGAAGAAGAGACGAGAAAACCAGTACTCCGGGCAGAGGCTCCAGATGAGACAATGTTTGGGTTTGTGAACGAGGCGGAGATTTGGCAAGGAGAAGATGGCGGCATATTTTCTTCGCTCATACTGATTGCTCCGTTATGGATACTCCAGGTGTGGTGTCGGGTCCAGAGAGCAAGGCTCCATCAACAGGACCGCATCAGGTGGCCCAAGAATTTCCCAAGCGTGATGAAAGCAAGGAGGGTTAAGATTTTAATTATTAGTTGATTTGTATTGTTAATTTGTATGGAATGCGAAAAGTTATTATTGTTTGAATTAGCGTAATGTTGTATGAAATTTGATGAATATGTGTATTGTTGGAGTAGTTAAATTATGAAATGTGGATGTAGTTTAATAATATGTTTTGATGAGGCTGCTGTATTAGAATAATAATTTGTGAGTTTATTAATTATTTATTTTGATGTGACGTGAATATGTTTGAACTGTTAATATGTGTGTAAGTTAAAAATTTGTGTAATGTAATTTATGAAATAACAAATTGTTACTTATAGAGTTTGATATAGATAATTTATTTATTTATGTTTCAGCGCCATACAACGTTGGCTTCAGACACTGAGGAATGAACAGCATAGAGGACGTGAGCAGGGCAATAAAGTTTCCAAGATGAACCTCGAAGTAGAGACGAGCAAACCAGAACTCCAGGCAGAAGCTCCAGATGAAACGATGTTTGGCTTGTAGGCATGGCGGAGATTTTGAAGAGCTTAAGTATTTGTTATTGTTGAATTAAGTGAATTTTAAGGTAGTTGTTATATACTGTAACTTAATAATTTATTTGTTGTAGGTTATAGTTAGTTATAGGCATGATTATTTAAATTTGTACCGATTTTATGTATTTATATTTCGTTTGTTACTAGTTGCATAGTATATGGATGCACATTCCAAATGCCAGGAGAGAAAGCGTTGGCTGCAGGTTACGAATCTCCGGCAAAATAGCTGACAGCATGATTTTCTTTGTTCCTCCGCTGTGGATATCCAGAATGTGGTGACCAAATCTTATCCCACTTCAAACGCTCTAACGGAGATTTGTATTAATGCTGCATTTGTTTATTGTTTCAGCACGGCTGAATGTAAATTCCGGATACCAAGAAGTGAGGAAATATTGGGTGAAGGTACTTGAGTTGCAATCCAGAAAATTTCCGAAATCAATTTCGATGCTTCATGCGATTCGCAGAATGGACAAGTAATCGGTTTCGTGGATCAATGCTCCGCCACAAAAGCAGCATCAAATGGCCCAGAATTTTCCAGGCATGATGAGGATAAGAAGAATTGCAGATTCCGGGTAAAATTTATTGTTTAATACTTTTACGTAGCGTTTGAGTAGTTAATTTTATTCAATGTGGAATTTGTGTAATTTTGTTATTGAGATAAGTATAATTATATTTGTTTACTTTAAAACGGCCTTAATAGGTACCGTCGTTCGCCTTTAGAGAAAAAATAGAATTATAGAAGAGGTAGAGAAGAAAATAAGTAGAAAGCCCGAAATGGTTTAACAGAAAGGAAAAGGAAAAAAGTTAACTTCTGCATGGAACCGACCAAAGCGCGCTCCAAAAATCGCTGTATAGATACAGCAAAAGGAGCACAGGTCAGCCAGACCCATACACATCCGGGCAGGACGCGAAGGGACCCAGCATCCAACTGTATTTATAGGAGTGAAAAACTTCTATACACGGATCTAGGCCCCTTCCACGGGGAAAAAACCACCCCCTCCTCCCAAAACCCATCCGCGAAAAATTTTCGCAAAGTGGGTTCGGGTCAAGCCCGCCGTGCCCGCATGACGTGCACAGTCGTCACACAGGCCAAGCAGCAATAGGAAAGGCGGGTAGTTCAAAAGTTGAGAAAGTAGCACAAAACGATAGTCGATGCAGGGAAAACCCAATAGTAAAGATTAGAGAGCATTAGGAGGAGGGGCTCTATCCGGCAAGTCGTTTGGCCGATATCGAACGTGTGGGCCACCCCTTGAAAATTGCCTTAGAAGGTCACGAACAAGAATGTTCTGGTGATTAGTGGTTTTTGCGTTGTATCTGCTCGAGTGAAGATTTATTTCGTCCCACACAGACGAGAAATTGAAGGCTTGATGAATATCAAAGTTTCGGACAAAGGGAATTGAGCCAGTACAGAGGCGCAAGGTTTTATTTTGGATAATCTGGATGGCTCGGATATGGACATCTGCCGCACATCCCCACAATTCTATGCCGTATTTCCAAGTTGGCGCTATGATTTGTTTATAAATCAAAAGTTTATTTTTAGTACTTAACCGGGACTGGGGATTTATGAGCCAGTTATATTTTTGAAGTTTGCCCAAAAGAGACTTTTTGATAACGTTAGCGTGCTTGTTCCAAAGCAATTTGCCATCCAGATTTAGGCCCAAATATTTGACGGTGGATTTCTTAGGAATGACGACATTGTCAAAAGTGACATCTGGCATTCTACCAGTACGCCACGTAAATGACATGTGGGAGGATTTTCTGCTGTTGATTTTAATGTTCCAGGACATAGCCCAGTTCGAGAAGGTGCATAGGTAATTATTCATATTGTAAGTAGCTGTGTGCGGAGAAGGATCACTAAATAAAATAGCAGTGTCGTCTGCATAGGTTGCAATAAGGCAATTGCTTCGCGAAAATTTGTGTACAATGGGTAGTGGCATATCACTGACATATATATTGTAGAGAGTGGGGCCAAGTATGCTACCCTGTGGAACTCCAGCAAGAGCAGGACGTATTGATGAGACGCAGCCCCTTTCTTTTACGCAGAACGTGCGATTTGAAAGGTATGATTGGAAGAGTTCAAATAATGGATACGGCAAAAATTTTTTCAATTTATATAATAGACCAACATGCCAAACCCTATCGAACGCTTGTTCGATATCAAGAAAAATGGCAGATGTGAACTGTTCCTGGTCAAAAGCCCGATGTACATGATTGACTATACGATGTACTTGTTGAATGGTGCTATGCTCTTTACGAAAGCCAAATTGATGGTCGGGTATAATGTGACATTTGTCGAGCACGTCATTTAAGCGTTCGCTAATAACCATCTCGAACAGTTTGGATAGTGACGATAAGAGGCTAATTGGCCTGTAGTCATTTTTTTTTTTTTTTAATAGTTTAGTCTATATTTTGGCGCACTGGCCATAAATTCGATTTACAATAACTTATGTTAAATACAAAAATTGGCTTTAAAGTTAGTGCATTTAGTGAGGAGGCAGCAGCGTAAATTAAACGATTTAATCCTTCCGTGGATGATTGAGTGGAGGGGAAGCGGAAAAAAGCGGAAGCATTGTGATGTAGGTGCCCCATCCCTCAAAGGAGCACCAAAGTAGTATAAAATACATAACTTATGTAATTACAAAAGAGTTAATATTAGGGTCACAAAGTTTGCATAAATGAGAGAGAGTGTATAAATTTGAACATTATGAGCGATTTTTGCATTTGAATAAAGAACAGTTTAACTATATGCGATTAAGAATTTACAAAATGTTAAATTAAGAGTTTATGTAAGAGTGAATTTAAATAAGAATTGTGTAAAAGCTTAAATTTTTACTTTAATTTTAGGATCGACGAGTAAGCAGGACCAGGATTAGAAGCGGAAACAGAAGCTCCAACGGTTGTAGTAGCCGATTATCGGGTGCCCGGCTCAACCAAGGACAGAGCCGCCTTGTGTGGGCCGAGGAATCCGAGCCGTGAGGCGTTAATTTGTTTAGCGCCATGCGGATTAAATTCCGGATGCGATGGGAAAACGTGTAAGTTGCCGAAGCCAGAGTAATGGCCATAGCTGACCCAGGTGAGTTTAATTGCATGATGATGAGTAGGCATAAAGGATGGCTGCATGGATTTATTTTGCTCCGCTATGGATACTCCAAGTGTGGTGTCAGGTCCAGAGAGCAGGGCTCCATCAACGGGACCACGTCAGGTGGCGCAAGAATTTCCCAAGCGTGATGAAGGCAAGGAGGGTTGACATTTTAATTTATTATTAAATTGTATGAGATGCGAAAAGTTATATTTATTTGAATTAGCATAATATTGTTTGATGGAGTTTGATGAATGTATTTATTAGAGTAATGAAATATTTATGTAATGTGAAGTGTAATTTATGAAGTTATTTTATTTGAGTATTAATTTATGAGTTATTTTATTGTGATGTGACGTGGATATGTAATGAAGCTATTATAATTAAGTATTAATTTGTGAATTTATGAGTTATTTTATTATGATGTGACGTGGGTATGTTGAGAACTGCTTATGTAGCTGGTTTACCATTTTTATGATGTTTTATGATAATGTTTTATTTAATTTTTTCAGCTCCATATAATGTTGGTTCCAGACACTGAGGAGATGCAGCAAAAGCGAAGCCAGAAAGTTGCCGAGATGGACCTCGAAGAGGAGACGGGAAAACCAGAACTCCAGGCAGAGGCTCCAGTTGAAACGATATTTGGCTTGTAGGCGAGGCGGAGATTTGACGAAAGTTTTTATATATTTATTTATTAAAGTAAATTTGAATATTTGTTATTATTTTAATTTAGTGAATTAATTGATTTGTATTGTTAGTTTGAATGGAATGCGAAAAGTTATTATTATTTGAATTGGCGTAAATATTGTTTGATAAAATGGAATTTAAAGAATATGTATATTTGTTAAATGTTTATGAAGTGTAAATGTAGTTTATTAATGTGATTTGATGAAGCTGCAGCTTAAGAATGATAATTTATGAGTTTACGAATTATTTATTTTGATGTGACATGAATATGTTTAGACTGTTGATGTGTGTGTAAATTAAGAGTTTGTATATAGTAATTAGTAAAATACCAAATTGGTACTTGTAAAGTTTTATATTAATACTTTATTTATTTATTTATGTTTCAGCGCCATATAACGTTGACACTGAAGAAGGGCAACAGGTTTGGCGAAGTTTTGCTTCAGAGAGATGGATGCAGGTTCCAGGTACCAATGGGAGAGGCGTCGGCTGCAGTCACGACCTATGGCAGAAAAGATGGCAGCATGGATTTCTTTGCTCCGCTATGGATTCTCCAGGTGTGGTGTCAGATCCAGAGAGCAAGGCTCCATCAACAGGACCGCATCAGGTGGCCCAAGAGTTTCCCAAGCGTGACGAAGGCAAGGAGGGTTTAAAATTTTAATTTATTAGTTGATTTATATTGTTAATTTGTATGGAATGCGAGAAGTTATTATTATTTGAATTAGCGTAATATTGTATGAAAATTGGAATTTGATGAATATGTGTATTTATTAGAGTAGTTAAATGTTTATATAGTGTAAAATGTAATTTAATGAAGCTATTATTTCTGAGTATTAATTTGTGAATTTATGAATTATTTTATTGTGATATGACGTGGATATGTAATGAGGCTATTATATTTAGATATTAATTTGTGAATTTATGAATTATTTTATTGTGATTTTATTGTGATGTGTCGTGAGTATGTTAAAGGACTTCTTATGTAGTTTGTTTACCATTTATATGTAGTTTTATGATAATATTTTATTTAATTTTTCCAGCTCCATATAATGATGGATCCGGATACTGAAGAGATGCAGCATACAAAACATGAGCAAAGCCAGAAAGTTGCCGAGATGGACCTCGAAGAGGAGACGGGAAAACCAGAACTCCAGGCAGAGGCTCCAGTTGAAACGATGTTTGGCTTGTAGGCGAGGCGGAGATTTGACGAAAGTTTTTATATATTTATTTATTAAAGTAAATTTGAATATTTGTTATTATTTTAATTTAGTGAATTAATTGATTTGTATTGTTAGTTTGAATGGAATGCGAAAAGTTATTATTATTTGAATTGGCGTAAATATTGTTTGATAAAATGGAATTTAAAGAATATGTATATTTGTTAAATGTTTATGAAGTGTAAATGTAGTTTATTAATGTGATTTGATGAAGCTGCAGTTTAAGAATGATAATTTATGAGTTTACGAATTATTTATTTTGATGTGACATGAATATGTTTAGACTGTTGATGTGTGTGTAAATTAAGAGTTTGTATATAGTAATTAGTAAAATACCAAATTGGTACTTGTAAAGTTTTATATTAATACTTTATTTATTTATTTATGTTTCAGCGCCATATAACGTTGACACTGAAGAAGGGCAACAGGTTTGGCGAAGTTTTGCTTCAGAGAGATGGATGCAGGTTCCGGGTACCAATGGGAGAGGCGTCGGCTGCAGTCACGACCTATGGCAGAAAAGATGGCAGCATGGATTTCTTTGCTCCGCTATGGATACTCCAGGTGTGGTGTCAGATCCAGAGAGCAAGGCTCCATCAACAGGACCGCATCAGGTGGCCCAAGAGTTTCCCAAGCGTGACGAAGGCAAGGAGGGTTAAAATTTTAATTTATTAGTTGATTTATATTGTTAATTTGTATGGTATGCGAGAAGTTATTATTATTTGAATTAGCGTAATATTGTATGAAAAATTGGAATTTGATGAATATGTGTATTTATTAGAGTAGTTAAATGTTTATATAGTGTAAAATGTAATTTAATGAAGCTATTATTTCTGAGTATTAATTTGTGAATTTATGAATTATTTTATTGTGATATGACGTGGATATGTAATGAGGCTATTATATGTAGATATTAATTTGTGAATTTATGAATTATTTTATTGTGATTTTATTGTGATGTGTCGTGAGTATGTTAAAGGACTTCTTATGTAGTTTGTTTACCATTTATATGTAGTTTTATGATAATATTTTATTTAATTTTTCCAGCTCCATATAATGATGGATCCGGATACTGAGGAGATGCAGCATACAAGACATGAGCAAAGCCAGAAAGTTGCCGAGATGGACCTCGAAGAAGAGACCAGAAAAACCAGTACTCCGGGCAAAGGCTCCAGATGAGACGATATTTGGGTTGTGGACGAGGCGAAGATTTGGCAAGGAGAAGATGGCGGCATATTTTCTTTGCTCCGTTAAGGATACTCCAGGTGTGGTGTCGGGTCCAGAGAGCAAGGCTCCATCAACGGGACCGCATCAGGTGGCCCAAGAATTTCCCAAGCGTGATGAAAGCAAGGAGGGTTAAGATTTTAATTTATTAGTTGATTTGTATTGTTAATTTGTATGGAATGCGAGAAGTTTTTATTATTTGAATTAGCGTAATATTGTATGATAAATTGGAATTTGATGAATATGTGTATTTATTAGAGTAGTTAAATATTTATATAATGTAAAATGTAATTTAATGAGGCTATTATTTCTGAATATTAATTTGTGAATTTATGAGTTATTTTATTGTGATGTGAAGTGGGTATGTAATGAAGCTATTATATTTGAATATCAATCTGTGAATTTATGAGTTATTTTATTGTGATTTTATTGTGATGTGACGTGGGTATGTAATGTAGCTATTATATTTAAATATTAATTTGTGAATTTATGAGTTATTTCATTGTGATGTGACGTGGGTATGTTAAAGGACTGCTTATGTGGTTTGTTTACCATTTATATGAAGTTTTATGATAATATCTTATTTAATTTTTCCAGCTCCATATAATGATGGTTCCGGGCACTGAGGATATGCAGCATACAAAGCATGAGCAAAGCCGGAAAGTTGCCGAGATGGACCTCGAAGAAGAGACGAGAAAACCAGAAATCCGGGCAGAGGCTCCAGATGAGACGATGTTTGGGTTGTGAACGAGGCGGAGATTTGGCAAGGAGAAGATGGCGGCATATTTTCTTCGCTCATACTGATTGCTCCGTTATGGATACTCCAGGTGTGGTGTCGGGTCCAGAGAGCAAGGCTCCATCCACAGGACCGCATCAGGTGGCCCAGGAATTTCCCAAGCGTGATGAAAGCAAGGAGGGTTAAGATTTTAATTTATTAGTTGATTTGTATTGTTAATTTGTATGGAATGCGAGAAGTTATTATTATTTGAATTAGCGTAATATTGTATGATAAATTGGAATTTGATGAATATGTGTGTTTATTAGAGTAGTTAAATATTTATATAATGTAAAATGTAATTTAGTGAGGCTATTATTTCTGAATATTAATTTGTGAATTTATGAATTATTTTATTGTGATATGACGTGGGTATGTAATGAGGCTATTATATTTAGATATTAATTTGTGAATTTATGAATTATTTTATTGTGATTTTATTGTGATGTGTCGTGAGTATGTTAAAGGACTTCTTATGTAGTTTGTTTACCATTTATATGTAGTTTTATGATAATATTTTATTTAATTTTTCCAGCTCCATATAATGATGGATCCGGTCACTGAGGAGATGCAGCATACAAAACCTGAGCAAAGCCAGAAAGTTGCCGAGATGGACCTCGAAGAAGAGACGAGAAAACCAGTACTCCGGGCAGAGGCTCCAGATGAGACAATGTTTGGGTTGTGAACGAGGCGGAGATTTGGCAAGGAGAAGATGGCGGCATATTTTCTTCGCTCATACTGATTGCTCCGTTATGGATACTCCAGGTGTGGTGTCGGGTCCAGAGAGCAAGGCTCCATCAACAGGACCGCATCAGGTGGCCCAAGAATTTCCCAAGCGTGATGAAAGCAAGGAGGGTTAAGATTTTAATTATTAGTTGATTTGTATTGTTAATTTGTATGGAATGCGAAAAGTTATTATTGTTTGAATTAGCGTAATGTTGTATGAAATTTGATGAATATGTGTATTTGTTGGAGTAGTTAAATTATGAAATGTGGATGTAGTTTAATAATATGTTTTGATGAGGCTGCTGTATTAGAATAATAATTTGTGAGTTTATTAATTATTTATTTTGATGTGACGTGAATATGTTTGAACTGTTAATATGTGTGTAAGTTAAAAATTTGTGTAATGTAATTTATGAAATAACAAATTGTTACTTATAGAGTTTGATATAGATAATTTATTTATTTATGTTTCAGCGCCATACAACGTTGGCTTCAGACACTGAGGAATGAACAGCATAGAGGACGTGAGCAGGGCAATAAAGTTTCCAAGATGAACCTCGAAGTAGAGACGAGCAAACCAGAACTCCAGGCAGAAGCTCCAGATGAAACGATGTTTGGCTTGTAGGCATGGCGGAGATTTTGAAGAGCTTAAGTATTTGTTATTGTTTGAATTAAGTGAATTTTAAGGTAGTTGTTATATACTGTAACTTAATAATTTATTTGTTGTAGGTTATAGTTAGTTATAGGCATGATTATTTAAATTTGTACCGATTTTATGTATTTATATTTCGTTTGTTACTAGTTGCATAGTATATGGATGCACATTCCAAATGCCAGGAGAGAAAGCGTTGGCTGCAGGTTACGAATCTCCGGCAAAATAGCTGACAGCATGATTTTCTTTGTTCCTCCGCTGTGGATATCCAGAATGTGGTGACCAAATCTTATCCCACTTCAAACGCTCTAACGGAGATTTGTATTAATGCTGCATTTGTTTATTGTTTCAGCACGGCTGAATGTAAATTCCGGATACCAAGAAGTGAGGAAATATTGGGTGAAGGTACTTGAGTTGCAATCCAGAAAATTTCCGAAATCAATTTCGATGCTTCATGCGATTCGCAGAATGGACAAGTAATCGGTTTCGTGGATCAATGCTCCGCCACAAAAGCAGCATCAAATGGCCCAGAATTTTCCAGGCATGATGAGGATAAGAAGAATTGCAGATTCCGGGTAAAATTTATTGTTTAATACTTTTACGTAGCGTTTGAGTAGTTAATTTTATTCAATGTGGAATTTGTGTAATTTTGTTATTGAGATAAGTATAATTATATTTGTTTACTTTAAAACGGCCTTAATAGGTACCGTCGTTCGCCTTTAGAGAAAAAATAGAATTATAGAAGAGGTAGAGAAGAAAATAAGTAGAAAGCCCGAAATGGTTTAACAGAAAAGAAAAGGAAAAAAGTTAACTTCTGCATGGAACCGACCAAAGCGCGCTCCAAAAATCGCTGTATAGATACAGCAAAAGGAGCACAGGTCAGCCAGACCCATACACATCCGGGCAGGACGCGAAGGGACCCAGCATCCAACTGTATTTATAGGAGTGAAAAACTTCTATACACGGATCTAGGCCCCTTCCACGGGGAAAAACCACCCCCCTCCTCCCAAAACCCATCCGCGAAAAATTTTCGCAAAGTGGGTTCGGGTCAAGCCCGCCGTGCCCGCATGACGTGCACAGTCGTCACACAGGCCAAGCAGCAATAGGAAAGGCGGTAGTTCAAAAGTTGAGAAAAGTAGCACAAAACGATAGTCGATGCAGGGAAAACCCAATAGTAAAGATTAGAGAGCATTAGGAGGAGGGGCTCTATCCGGCAAGTCGTTTGGCCGATATCGAACGTGTGGGCCACCCCTTGAAAATTGCCTTAGAAGGTCTTTTTTTTTATATATACATTCTTTATTGTGACGCACAGGCCAGGTAAATGGGTACAACAGTTGCTTAAAATATAAGTCTTATGACTAGTCCATTACAGGTCTTTGTGTGCTTGAGACGAGAGGAGGCAACAGCGCAAGCAAAGCGCCTAGATCCTTCCAGGTTGATAAGATGGAGGGAAAGCGGGAAAAAAGCCGGAGCGATGATGATAAGGAGCCCCCTCCCTCAAAGGGGCACCATATAAGTGATATAATGTAAAGATTGTTGTAAGCTTAGGTGGTAATACATGTTATTTAAAAAATTAGAAGAAACAAATTGAATAATAGTAATACAAGGTAA